CATTAACTGAGAGTTCGGGATAGTGTGGCTTGACGAGGCACTGCCGGTTAATAAACACCTTGTAAATCATAAGTCTGTCATGCAATTTCTGATTAACTGCCTGTAATTTGTACACTTTTCGATTTCTATATAAATTAAATATGTACTTATTGATGTTGGTTAAATAATAACGTCCGTATTCACTGTTCTTCCATGAGTCATTTGCTCTTCACGTACACATGTTTAAAATGCTCATCCCTATTCGATCTTGTGTCTTCGCGTTGCATTACTGTGACCAGTTGATAGAATGTGGATGTACGTATTCCGTTGAGACCATCTAGCTGTCTCCACTTAATTTGAGTGAACAACGGGCGATAAATGTCCCAAGGGATTACTATTGTAACGAAGATCGAAATGCATACAAGTCTTCCGATAATTTAGCTAGTTCGACGCTCTGAAGAATATCAAAGATGCTTGTACTCTATTTATTTTTTGGAATTCTGCACCTTGTTACTGACAACGTCAAAAATTCTATAATAAAACGAAGATATCATGTAGTCACTGGTTTTCAACAAGTCAAAAAACTGTCACAAATTTTCCAACCTTATAGGGGTTAGAACTAGACATAGAAGTGAAAATCAGTGATTAAATCACACTGATGAGCACATTCTACTATAGTTTATAAAGAGCCTGATATCAAATGTTTTATAAAGCCTCATAGACACTATGGGATAGTCCTGTGGTCTGTTAAGTATCCATATGAGTGAAGATGGAAGGGTAATGTCCTTGCTTCTGAAGTTCTCGTTTTATTTATCAGATTAGGATTTAATGAATGACAATTCAAAATGTCATAGCCAGCCAGATAGAATCACATGTAAGATCAACCAAATAAAGTAATCCCAGCAAATATATAAAAAGTAAATTTCACCACGTATGTTGAATCGTTTTCGAATTTTCCTTAGCATCTCTTTCGAGGTGCCAACCATCAATATTCTAACTTAGTTGTAACTGGACTAGTGTTCGAGACAGCGAAGCCAATATAACACTAAAAGATTTGTGTAGTAAGGAGAGAAGGCCTACGGCCTATGTTATTCCTTTTCTAGTATGCTACTGTGAGTGTCCAGTCTTCTCTTGAAAGAGTCAATTGAAGGTGCGGACACCACTGCTTCAGGCAGCAGGTTCCAAGTATTGATGACGCGGTGTGAAAACCTGTATGCCACGGATATTTTGTACGTTCTTGGCTTTTCTACTCGCCTGCTATGTCCTCTAAAGTGTCCCGATCTAGTGAGAAGAAAGAGAGAGAATAAGTTAGGTCCGAAGTCATTTCTCATTATTCTGTACATCAGAATTGGATCTCCCCTTAGTTTGCGATAGGACAGAGTAAAGAGGTCCAGCTTTTCGAGCCGCTCTTTGTATGAAAAACCCCGGAGTTCCGGAATTGCAGGGGTAGCTGCCCTCTGTACTTTTTCTAGTATGTCCGAGTCACCTTTTAAACAGGGGCTTGCAGCCTGAACGCAGATCTCTAGCTTAGTTCTCACTAAGGATGTGTATACTGTGGTGAACATGGTTGTATCTAACTTAGTGAATGTCCTTTTTAAAGCCCAGAAGGTTCGAAACCCCTTGACTACGACCTCCCGGCAATGGGCCGTCGTCTTAAGATCATTACTCACTGTCACCCCTAGATCCTTATGAGACCGGACTACGGGTAATGGCACTTCCACTATGTTGTGCCTATTAACCTTTGAATCTTCCAAGTGCATGTAGACACACTTTGCCGCGTTGATAGGCATGAGCCACTCTTTAAACCAGTTTATCATATTATTTAAGTCTGCCTGAAGAGTAAATGCGTCTTTGTCTCCAGTTATTACTCGCCAAATTTTTACATCGTCAGCGTATAATAACATTGGAGACTGTACTATACTTGTAAGATCATTAACATACATTATAAAAAGTAAAAGACCTAGGACGGAACTTTTGGGTACTCCACTAAGTACTGGTCTCCAGATGGAGCACTTGGAATTTATTCTTACTTTTTGTCTACAACCTACTAGGAAATCTTTAATACATTTTAAAAGAGGCCCGGCAGTACCAAGGTTTTCTAACTTCAATAGCAGTCTATTAGTTGGCACCTTGTCAAAAGCCTTACTGAAATCTATGTAGACAACATCCACTGAGTTTCCGTTGTCTAGCGCATCAATCCAGAACTCCCTAGCTATAAGGAGGTTCGTTGTACAGGATAGACCCTTTCTAAAACCATGTTGTGCCATGTTCAGCAAGTTTTTGGTTTCCATAAATGCCGTTATGGTCCGTTTGATTATTCTTTCCAGTATTTTAATTACAACACTGGTGAGACTTACGGGTCTGTAATTCGATGTAACTTGTCGTGGACCTGTTTTATATATGGGAGTGACGATTGCGTCCTTCCAGTCCACATGTAACACACCTTGGTCAAGTGACATATTGAATATCACAGTCAGTGGGGCTGCGATATATTGGGCAATATGTCTCAAGGTTTTGGGGTGTAGTTCATCTGGTCCTGTTGACTTCTCCATGTTTATGGTGCTAAGAGCCTTAAGCACATCGTTTTGGTCGAAGTCCACGGTGAGCAGCTGGTTTGTTGACTCTGTAATTGGGCCTGGTTCTTTCTCTAGAGGAGGTTCCTGAGTGAAAACTGCCCCAAAGTAGTCAGCCATAACCTCTGCTTTTTCCTGATCTTCCTCTATCATTTCAGATTCACTTCCTACTTTAATTAGGTTAGGAATCCAATGATGCATCCTTGTTCTATAGTTTATGTACGAGAATATCCTCTTGGGTTGCTTGAGTGCAGATTGTGCCAGCTGCATTTCATATTTTCTTTGAGCTTCCCGAATTTTCGTTTTACACTCGTTTCTTACCGATCTGTAGCGTTCCATCGTACCTGCTGTACCAAGGCGGATGGCAACATCCCAGCATTTCTTCTTTTTTCTTAGTAAACGTCGAATATCCCGCCCTATTCAGGGATGTCCGTGCCTCTTTTTCCTTGGGACAGTCCAGGGTATGTATGGTTGAGTTACTCGATTGTATAACTGCCTGAATAGAGTCCATGCCTCTTGTACTGATGCCTTTGAGTCAATTTCCCAGTTTTCAGCCGATGCTGCGGAGTTAAGTGCCTGCAAATCTGCCTTCCATATGTTGGGACGGGCCGGTGCAACTGTTTGACAGGCAATCTCAGCCATGAATTTGAATAAGATGACTGCATGGTCACTTCTCTCAAGTGGTGGGAGAAAAGCCATTTGACCAACGTCATCACCGTGTGTGAAGACTAAATCTAAAAGAGAAGAAGAGTTTCTTAAGTCGTATCTTGTGGGATCTCTAATGTGTTGGAATAATGCTAGTCCAATCGAGGTTTCTAACAGTTTGGAGTCGAACGACGATATGGATGACCGTACTTCTAAGTTAACCCAGTTTATACATGGTTCATTAAAGTCGCCTACTACAAGGCTTTTACCGTTGTTACACCAGGACTAAAGTTTACTTAGGATAAAATCATCTGCTACACATTCTGGACTGCGACATACTACAACTAATTCAATATCTTGCCGTCGGCATTTCAACTTACATCTCACCAGTTCACATGTCCCTGAAACATGTGCTACTGTCTCAGCTCATCTTATGGTTGGGGTACTTTTCGTGTACAGAATAACCCCGCCTCCCCTACTGTTTATTCTATCAGCCCTACTGGTTATGAAACCAGTCAACTGGATTTCACTATCTAATACTTCTGACGTTAACGAAGTTTCCGAGACAGAAATAATGTCCGGTTTCCTTTAACCACCACTGACTTGAGCCCCGCCATTTTATTTAGTAGGCTGCGAGCATTTGTGTAGCATACCTTTAAGTCTGTGGAGAGCTTTCCCTTGCCACCCAGAGTGGCTTGGGGATCGTTTTGCCCCGAACTTTTACAACTTGGAAACCCTTAAGATTAAGGTTTCGTCCCCCGTTTTGGCGACGTTCGTTTATTTCCACTTCTGCAGCTCGTCTCTTAATACGATCTGCTAGGCTGAGATCCTCACGGACATATATTCCGGATCCTATCAGTTTACGTGAATTACTTAGAATCAGGTTCCTTTCTTCCACCGTGTTGAATGTAACCTTTAGGAGGCGGTTTTTCTGAGGACTTTCGGAATCCACCTTTTTTCCTATTCTATAAAGCTTACAAATACTGACTCCTGAAACTGTATCTGGGAGTAATTTACCTAATAATGTCTTAATATGATTGAGATCGTGTTCAAATCTCGTCTTTGGTTCTTTATCTGAAGATTCTCTTATCTTATGAAAAATGACTGGTCTCTCAGAGAGATCTGTCTTGTCACGCAGTGAGGAATTTCCTTCTGATAACATCCCTTGCAATGCCTTGATGACCAGCTGCGTTTTGCCCACAGCCTTTTTCTTCCCATTTCTTTTTCTCCTTACTGAAGTTTACTTGTCACTAGTCAGGACAGCCACACCTGAACTACGTGGAACGGTGACATTTTTATCCGGATCTTCTATTTCAACTAGAGGTATATGACTGCCGATGTCAATATCAAGCAGCACTTCATCCCTCGTTAATGTCAACGGAGATTCCACGTTCCTGTCAACCACAGTCAGGTGCTTAACGCGTCCAGTAGCAGCAATCACTACACTGACACATTCTTCACCGTCAGTGCTCTTGTTATCATTGCTTCTGCCATCGTTTTTCTTGCAGGCCTAAGCCAATAGGCACATAGCACAGAAATAATTCATTTATCGTATTCAACTTGAATGTGCTTAACAGTAGAACGTTTTTTCAAAGACAAACTTTAAGATCTGAATATTTGTTTAAATCACCTAATTGGAGCAACTCTTTTGAAGCGCGTAATATCACTTGGGAGTCAGAATCGATGGGTAATGCACAAGCTGCTAAAAAGGGTGATCCGGCCGATGGTAAGTGAACGTTTAATATATTTTTTTCTATCAACTAATCGTCGATTTTTCATGCTTCATTTAATTTATACTTTTAGTGAAAGCTCTTCTGGAAGAAGCAAAGAAAGAATTTCTAGAAAAATGGGAGAAGCCTGCTCAGGTGTGTTACTTGTTGATGTCGAATTTTTTTTAGAACACGGCCACTCTGGATTCATTCGACCGAATCAAAACGTTAGGCACTGGGTCTTTCGGACGCGTGATGCTAGTCCAGCACAAAGTCAGCAAGGAGTATTATGCTATGAAGATTTTAGACAAACAAAAGGTTTTTGAAGTTATTTGAGTGTTTATTTTATTTACAGGTGGTGAAGTTGAAACAAGTTGAACATACATTAAACGAAAAGCGTATATTACAAGCTATTTCGTTTCCGTTCCTTGTCCGGTTGGATTATCATTTCAAAGTAAGTGAGCAGTTAATGCTTCAAACTGTTGTAGTGGTAACCAAAAGTTTAAAATCTTTCATCACCGTATTTACATGCTGTTTTTGATGGGATTTTTCGTTTTCAAAGCGTTATTGCTGTTTAATTATAGACCAGTAGTCTATGCACTGTACCCTTCATTGTATTCCCCCGCATTTATTATTCTGATGGGTTGGGGGGCTAAAACGTATATGAATAAATATATGTCCGTATGGGCATATAATATTTTCATGTTTTGGCACTTAATAATTCACAACCGTCCTCCCATTTCTAAAACCAGGGTACATCCGGTCCAGAAACTTGTTTATGCAACCTCAGATAATTTTCCTTTTAACCCTTTGTAAGGTCGTTAAATTGTTTTAGGCAACCCCATTAAACTTTTGAACTGTTGAGGTGTACGCTAGAGTTGGGCGTGTATTGTGAGTTGGAAGGTGTTATGCTGAAGCTTTTATAAACATCGTGACATCATGTAAATTGGGCTACTAAGATTTCTGCACATACACAATTAACAGCTTGCCTTATCACGATTAAAGTTTTCAGCTTAGAGGAAAAACCCCGAAAAAATTACTTTTTCGATCTACAAGTCTTTATATGGGCTATACACATTTGTGCTAGTTCGTACTCTCACTATAGTGAATAAGATAATCCAATGAAATGTCTTTGTTACACAAATTTGTGATAATATTCAAATCTGTCCAAAGACGCTTAGTATATCATGCCAGTTCATACTGTCCGGTGGTATAGCTAACAATATGACTTAGTCTTCAGTCTTCAGTAATAAGGATAGTAGGTTGATGAACCTGTATTAATCCTGACGCACTGCTTTCCAGTGAAGGTCCAGCTTCTCCTTGAAAGTATTCACTGATGGGGCTGATACCACTTATTCGGGTAAGGCGTTCCAATCATTGACTACTCGATGAGAAAAACGGAACCTCACTTTAAGTTTATTAGATCTTGGTTTATGAACCTTCTTGCTATGACCGCGGAGATTATTAGTCCTGGAGGGAGCAAAAAGATAAGACATATTAACACCCAAATCATAATTAAAGATACGAAATGCCAGTATAAGGTCACCTCGTGTCCTACGATACGACAAGGGGAAAAGATTTAGGCGTTTTAAACGCTCATCGTAAGGGAGTCTAGAAAGACCCCTCACTAATTTCGTTCCCATACGCTGAACACGCTCAAGGGAGTTAGTATCCTTTACCAGACATGGGCTAGCTGCTTGGATACAGTACTCTAAGTGTGGTCTGACATAGGTGGGATATAAAATTCGAAACGTCTCCTCGTCAAAAGATTTGAACGCTCGGCGAAGTGACCATAACGCTCGAAAACCTTTGACAGCGGCTGCTTTACAATGCGTAGTTGTTTTTAAATCATGACTTAATACTACTCCTAAGTCTTTATGCTCTTGAACGCATGGCAGAGGTTTACCCTCAATAGTATAACGGTAACTATTACCGTGACCGATGTGCATTAGCACACTCTTCCTAGCATTGATTTCTAAACCCCACTCTCGAGCCCATCTAACTAAATCGTCTAAGTCAGCTTGAAGATCCAGATGATCAGCCGCACTTTTTATTGTTCTCCAGATTTTTACATCATCCGCAAACAATAATGTCGACGACCTAAGTAACAGAGGTAACTCATTAACGTAGAGAAGGAAGAGCAGAGGGCCTAAGATGGTGCCTTGCGGTACACCACGTTTGACCGGCTTCCAATCGGATAGCGTTCCGTTAACCCTCACTCTCTGTCTGCGGTCACATAAGAAATTTCCTATCCACGCATGTACAGTACCTATTATTCCGAAGCTCGTGAGCTTCTGCATAAGACCTACGTGTGAAACCTTGTCCAACGCTTTGCTAAAATCTATGAATATCACGTCGACAGACAGACCGTTATCTAGGGCTGCTGTAGTTAGTTTGGAACAGGCGAAAACAATCAGTCTTCGTGGATTTACTGTACTAACGAATAATACATCATAATATCTGAGTAGTTAACATCAGATCATGCCCATATGAGACTACTTTTACTTCATGTCATAAAAACAAATCCTCTCTAAGGAAAATCTACTAAGTAGTTAACGAAATGCGTCTTCGAATCGTTCACCAAAATCCAAATGTCCACTTGAATCAAACGTTTTTGAAAGTGTAATATAATTTTACTGTAATCGTTGATAAAATGTGTACTTGAAAATCCAGTGCATAAACTTTAATCGAGTCACTGGGTTAAATTATAATATGCAAACGCTTCTAAAGTGCATTTGAGTAGTATACCAAGAAGATGAATTTGATTATTTTATCTAAAACCCTTCGTATTATTTGTTTCTCTTATTACTATAGGACAATAGCAATTTGTATATGGTTTTGGAGTTTGTTAATGGGGGAGAAATGTTTTCCCATTTAAGACGCATCGGTCGTTTCAGGTAATTAAAAATGGATTGTAATTATGTTTTGAGTAGAAATTCATGTGTGTATACGTGTGCACAAGGGGATTATTCGTTACGCTTACATTATAGTAGATACATATTACCAAATTAGATTATTATTATTACTATTATGACGTAAAACCATGTGTGAACTGGAAAGTTTGAACGATCGCCTTTTTTCATGACAGGCGGGGGAATTTCATCAATAAAGTGTCTCAATGCATATGAATGAACAAATGCAAAGACAATCAATTTAGGGGGTTAGTGTAGATTGACTAGTTTAAGACTAGTTTTTATCAGCTGTAGAACAGACCATTAAAACTGAGGGAGCTCTGAAGAAATATTTTTTTCTCAGCAGTATTCTGTTGCAAGTTATTCGGAAAGTGACTGCCTAAATCTTGAAACGATCACGATAAGCATGATCAAACCTCTGAATCAAAATCCGTCTTCGATCTTCAGTCGATTCTCTGTGGGCGTAAATATCATTCACTGGCGTTAGTGATGTCTGTTTCACTCCATACATAGTTGTGCTTTACTCTTGTATTAAGCATTCCTTCGTGTCACTTATGACTTATAACCACTGATTTCTCACATTTTAAGGACTCCAGCTGGAAGTAGTACATGCTCAACAAAAAAAGTCTTTTTTGTTTCACAATTCGGTTTGACTATTCTTTGTCAGTTTATAGTTTGCTTGCTATACATATATTCATTTTTGTGGTTATCACATTTCGTTGATATTTAATTGTCTCGGTAATATAGTGTTATTGCTATTCTTTCGTACGTAAACCAACTTCAAATATTCTCCTTCTTGGTCAACATTTGGTGCTATTGTATTCAACTTTTTCCGGTATTTTAAAAGCGGAAATTAGTTTAGGTAATAGATTGTGTTGAAAAATAATGTTTTTGTAATAAAAAGATTATTATACTTTTATATTAATCGAAATGAGTGATTTTACTATCAATCATCCACTTTGTTATAGGTATTTATACTCAGCTGTGAGTCATGCTGTAGGAGGGTTGGTGGTACTACCTGACTGCTCGAAGCAGACAGCGCAGGGTTTGAGCATGAAATTTCCTTATAAATTACTATGACTCCTCCCTGAATAGATTCAAAGGATCTAACATCTGACGGCTTTTACGTTTACTTCTACATGATCTAGTAGACTGTAGTCGTCTTATGTTTGATATGAACATTCAGCTTTCGGTGATTAATTCATGCGTTTAGAGTCAACTCGACTGGAATCGGTTTGAGAAGTTATTTATTATTGTTAGGCTTCATAGGAAAAATTTAACGCAGATTACGGCTTAAAACAACCACTATTAATTATCCAGTTTATATATATATATATATGTAGGTAGAAAAAACAATTCATCTAACTGCTAACTTCGTCATGAAGTGAACAATTTTAACAGGTAAACATTCACCAATTACGTTGAAAAAGTAAACCGCCAAATATATTAGAGTTTCATAGTGTAAATGACGAGCTAGCTTTACCTAAGCCAACATAGTAGACCACAAAGCACTGAGTAGCTGCTTTAACTTAACATGTTTTAAGTAGTGACTAATTTTGAGAAGCGATTGCTTGGGTTTAAGTGAGATGCGTGATTTATGGAGTTCAACTATGTCACTTGTGAGGCAGTTACCCACCAATATAATTGGGAGGTGGTTGCACAATATCGCGAATTGATTGATGTTGGAAATTTAAACCATTAAACTGCAACTATAGTTTAAATCTTAACTACTCACTATCAAGCATGAATGTCCTGGGTTTTATTTCCTATAGGGGCGTGTGTGCTCACTGTTGTAGAGTCCTATAGTAGGATGGAAAAATTGTCTGATGCCTCTTAGTTTTTCGTGGTTGTCCAAAGTTATTTCGCGATGTAAACTCCATTATGTGCATACTTGACCATGATTTATGTTACCAATTAACTATTCACTGTTTGCTAAGTAAAATTATTTGAAGGTATGAGATTTGTAGACGATATTTTACTAACTTTTCTATCCTTTTGGTGAATATAATAGTTCTGTGAAACGTTACTTAATTTTAGTGATAGAAACATCTTATGACAGCATTCAAAATTACAATTTTTGACGGTTGAAATTATTATAACACAACAGCAAAGAAATTAAAGTTATTTTGCTTTTATATTTAAGTTAAAGTGGGTTTTTAATTGAGACAAAAGATTTTCATGATTAAACCTAGACACAACGTTAAACTGTCATTTCTATGGTCTAAATGAGGTATTTGCAAATCAATACCGTCACCAAATCACCAAAATAATTAACCTGTAATCATTAGATCATGGGATAAATTCTTCTTCAACCCCTTTTTGAAACTGTTTTTAATCTTTAATTTAATTTACTGTGTGGACTTTTGGCACTCAGTTTTGAGACTTCTTTTCATGTAAAGGCTAGCGATACTCAGATGTCCAAACAAAGTAGGTGGAGCAAGACTCGAACTTGCGACCAGGTGATTAGAAGTTGAATAATTTAACCACTATGCCATCACTCTACAAATAAAGGTGAACTGAATTTCGTCGTTGGTGACTTGTTTTTTTAAAAATCTCTTTTACCGTAACACACTGTATTACCTCGAATCATTACTAACTGTTTATTTTAACCAACGTTTTTGTTTTAACCATCATTGTCAGGATCATTTCTACTTTAAATGTACCCTCGATTTGATAACTTTCAGTTGACTAGTCGATTTTATGTCTTTGCATAGCTTTGATTTTGTTTAGAATCAGGCATTGAATAAAGTTAGTAGTTTGCATTGTTCACAAGACTGTAACCAACGTTGTTGTTTTCACTGTGAATAATATTTTTACTATTTATTGCTTTAAACACAAACATTAGTACAAGGAGGCACCAAAAAGGTATGCGCCACATAAATCATTCGATTTATGTGAGGGGTGGGATACTGTCTTGGTGCCAGAACCGAAACAGGTTGTTTTCTTAGGGGGTCACACCCGGAGTCTTCGACCTAAAGGTTTGATCCACAAGGGAGTGGAGCAACGTCAGGAGATGGAGTCCTCTAGTAGCCGGTGATCCATAATTGGCTCATACGCCTTTTGTTCCTTCAGGATACTGGAGCCCATGATCAGTCTCTCATTGGGATATGTGCATCTTGTGCGCATTGACTTGATGTTACCTAAAGTCACAAGCATAGTCAGCAAAGATGGAAGGTGGCTAGCAGTGGAATCCAGGACGTACGTTTCGTTCTATTTCGGGACGTACATGCATCTCGAAGTTGATGTTCACTCCGGAACTCCAACCTAGTACCGTTCACTTTAAACGCCGGTACATTCAGGTGACGAGTCCCGAACGGGACGAAACGCGCATCCTGAATCCTACTGCTAGCCACCATCCATCTTTGCTTATAGTGTATGACCAGTTTACAAATGTTTTCGAAAAATCTTAAAGGTGAGAATTATTGAGGCAAGTAACAATTTTTTGTGAAGTAGTGAATATGGGTAGTCTACATCATTGAACTCATGTTTCGCTAAATGCAGTTTTAGAGATAGTAAGCGTACACTATGAAAACCATAGTTCGATCAGTAGATGGGATGGTATTATTTTTGGAAAGTTCTATTTATTTCTCTAAAAAGTAGACATTAATATTAATTAGTCTAATTAACCTTTAAAAGCCAGCCGTTGGAAATAGATATGAACATCTAACTTTCGGCCAATCTAGCTAAATTAAAATACAATTTTGTACTATAAGTTCTATTGACTATATGAACTCAGTTTAGTACTTATGGATGGGAATACGGCGAATGTGTTAGTTAAAAGTATGAATCCTTTCCTCATACAATCTTCCCTTTTATCACCATTTATCAAATTTTCCGTGGTGTGTAGTTTTTATGTACCGGTTGTACATAATGCGTTCGAAAACTGCCTTGAACAATTGCATCACTAGATACAACTTGATATTTAGCTATATCCATTTATCAGTTATCATCTAAAACATAAACATTTGATTACTCTATTCATTTAGTATATTTTCTTTCTTTAATTAGTCCTAGCAATTTCACTTCGTCTAGTGAATATGTGGAACACTGATTATTATCTAGTTTTTATCTATTAGTTTAATAAAATTTATATTTGAGCATCAAGTAAACTGAACTCTGTAAATATTAAGGAGTTATTTCACAATTGTTGAAGTTTTATCTAACGGGATTTATTTTTTGGCACACTATTATCAAATATATAGAATTTATATTATCAGAAAGGATATGGATTATTTTATGGCTATCTAAGAATTTTTTTGATATGTGCATACCGTGATATAGCCACTTTGTCATAATTTTTATAAAATCATTGAATTATGATTGGCAGTGGAATGCAAGGCTAACGTTTCGTCCTACTTGGGACTCATCAATTGTATCAAATTCATTTGATGACATCAACGACAGAATAATCCAAAGCCTTTCTAATATTTGATGAACACCATATACATCGGATAAGTTAGTGGATATATGAACTCACTGGCTAAGTGAATAATGCGTTGGAAATTTGAAGCGAGAAGTACTAGGTTCTAATTTCAATGTGAATGTCAAAATTGGTCTACAGGTACATTCATTCGGTGAGTCCCAAATAAGACGAAACAGGCGCTCTGGATTCCACTGCTAGGAACAATTTATCTATTTCATACAGAGTTTGTTTACTCTCAAAAATTAATTGTTCTCTTTGTCCATTCGATCTCATTCACTTACTCACTCGCTCAATCAATGAATCAGTTACCCATTTTCACGCAACATGGAAGAAAACAATAATCATTGAGTCTATCTATTTTTATTTATTGAGCCTTCACATAATATGTTTATATCTTATTCCTAAGCAATAAAGTTTATTAAATACATTCAATATATTATTCAATAAAGTATTTTTCCTTATGCCATTATTATTTTTTCGTTTAGAAATATGCCAAAATCAATCTATGGGAATGTCAATTTTTCTGAGTCATTTCAAATGACCCCATATGTCCTATTTAGAT